GATAGTTTTCTTGGGAGCGTGTGGAGTACCTGGCGGAGTTTATGGTAATGAGAGAAGGAGATATGGTATGGAAAATATGAGCTCATGAAAAGGTAGGGATGTGTTAGTTCTCAAGTCAGGAAAGCAAGCAGGTGGGGTCAAGCCATGCTATAGGGGACAATTTGCCACAAAGAGCGACGGCCCCACTCTGGCGGGGTGTGGTCTCCACACATCAGCTCTCTCCCACGTGGTCTTCACCAACGCCCACCCTCTGCTGCCATCCAGGCCAGATGTGGGGCCAAAACACAGACATGTTCCCTGCCCCCTTCTACGTGAGGCCCCGCCCATACCAAACAGCCACCAGTAGGCTCTTGCACTCCCTAAGGCATGGACTTTTAGAAAATTGTTTGATTTTCTAAATTGCATTGTAAAGTTTATAAATAATAGAAGCCCAAGAGAAAGCCACACAGCAAGACTTTCCCTCCCTGCTGATGAAACGTGTTATTTTCAGCCACCTCTTTTTAGAAACTGGACTATTATCCCCATCCCTGTCCCTTCATCTTGCTTTGTGTTTTTGAGGTAGTTGGTTGCCTTCAAATCAGTATCTCAACTCTATAGTGAAGTTCTTATGTTTCTTTGACTCTATGACCCTGATATTTTCTGGAGGTAGCTCATGTCAATTTGAGAGGCAAGCAGAATAGTAAATAGAAAATGGGCCTTAGCATCAGAAAAGTTTGAATTTAAACCCTTGTTCTGCCACTTTCCAACTGTGTGACCTCAGGTAAGTTAATATTCATGGTAGTCATTGATTAATTTAATATATGGAAGTTGTGGGGCACCTGCCATGATGCCAGGCTCTCTGTTTGTGTCTGGTGCGAGAGATCATAAAAAATGTTAAAAAAAAAAATAGTATCAAAACTCCGTGAGATTTTGATAGCGTCCTATATATCAAAAATACTTATTTTCCTCATTGTAGGAATAGTGAAAATAAAAACTCCAGAGTATTGCTAAGACTTAAGACAGATAACAAGCCAGATGTAGTGGCATGCACCTGTATGCACCTGTAGTCCCAGCTACTCAGGAGGCTGAGGTGGGAGGATCACTTGAGCCCAGGAGTTTGAGGCTGTAGTGTGCTATGACTACACCTGTGAATAGCTACTGCCCTCCAGCCTGGGTGACAGAGCAAGATCCCATCTCTTAAAAAAAAAGAAAATGTCTTTGAGTATGGTATGACATTTCTTCAGCCTGTGGCCTTTTTTGTTTTTTAAGAGATAGGATCTCACTCTGTCACCCAAGCTGGAACTCTTGAGCTCAAGCAATCATCCTGCCTTAGCTTCCTGAGTAGCTGGGACTACAAGTGCTCATCACCATGCCTGGCTAATTTTTTTAATTTTTATAAAGATAGGGTCTCACTATGGTGCCCAGGCTGGTCTTGAACTCCTGGCTCAAGCAATCCTCCCACCTTGGCCTCCCAAAATGCTGGGATTACAGGCGTGAGCCACCACTCCCTAGAGCCTGTGGCCTTATAATTAAACTTACAGTGTTATCTAATTCAGTTCTTATCATTCATGTAAACACTTTAATTTTATGATAAAATATCTTATTACTATTAGTAGAGACCATTAACAGTTTGCAGTTGCAAAGAATTTATCTGACTAATTCATTTTGTTAGGTGTCAGCATAGATGTCACAATCTCAAGGAATCATTGTCTGACCACTTAAGTTTAGTTAGTTAGATGTAGTCTACTTTAATTTAGTTAAATTTAGCTAACTTCTGCTATGAGATCCCATAATACTCTACAATTTCTTTGTCATAGGAGGCAATACAATGATGCGTTTGCAAGTTCAGTTCAACCCTTGGATCATGTAATTCTGGATTCAAATCCCATCTCTACCTTCTAATGGACTTTGTCAAGTTACTTAACCTAAGTCCCCCTCTCCTCATTCGTAATTTGGGATTAATAAAACAGGGTTAAAGGAGAGCATGTATATTAAGTGCCTATACAGTGCCTGACACATGGTAAGCAATAAATAATTACTAGATGCTGTCGTTGTCATCATTTCCATCACCATCATCATGACACTTTATTGAAATTGCTTATTGAATATGCTTGTCTTCCTCAGTGGAGCAGGGACCACATTTTCTCTGTTTACCTTTTGTCCCCACTGCCTAACACAGTTTCTGACACTTAATAGGAGTTTAGTAACTTGATTGTCGAATGGTTGAGATGAACCCTGGCGGCCAAATGAGAGCAGTGGCTTCGGGGGTTCTGCAATGCCTGGTCCTTAAGCCACATAATTGTCATCAAAAACAGTGAAATGTGGCCTAGTTCCTTGAAGAGTGAGTCTAGCAGAGCAGATCCTAGACAGAGCGAGAGCCCCAGCATCGCCCACCCCACCCCCTTCACTCTACAAAGTACATGCTAGGGCACATCTGCTGCTCAGCTGGGGGAGAAGTGAACATATTGGAAGGCTGTACACCCAAGAAGGATTTAGAAGACAATTGAGTCAGAGCAATATAGCTATTTTTTAGTTAGTTTTTCATCTATCACTTTACCTATGGAATTTGCTTTTTGTAATTTAAGGATAACACTTAGCTAAGTGCTTTTAAGTAATAAATGCAAAGTAGTAATAATTAGCCAGAGGTGATGTTACTTCTAAAGAAGGAAAAAGTGATGTTCGCTACAAATGTAAAAAATATATACCATCTGTTAAGCAGTTCATTAAGGGAGTGCACTGTGGTCCCGATAACCTGCTTTCTAAATTTTATCACAAAATATATTTTGAATGAATAATAATCTGTGACTATATTGGCAAAAAAATTACTTCTAATGTAAATGAGATATGAAAAAATATTTAAGCCATTTTAATACTCTAATTCCTCTCATTCTAAGCATTGCCATTTCTCACAGGCCAATACTCCGCTGTAGAAGAGCTTCACTTATACCTCCCTGGCAACGTAAGACGTATACATTTGTTGCATTTATGCAAACACACCGTAGGAGGGCAGCACACACCTGGTTAACTTAAAAACTGCGTGTGTGGTAGCCTTATCAAAATAGTTGTCTCGATTATCCCAAGACATTCCTAAGTTAACCACTACTCAGATAGGAAGGAAAGCTGTTGGAAAAGACAAAAAGAGCAAAGATTTTTAATAAGACAAAGGAATGCATTCCTTAAGACTCTGAGTTTCTACAAAAGGGAATCTGGACCTATTCAAGCTGCAAAATGGGAAAACAGAGTTAAAGAAAAAAACAGAATTTCCCAAATCTGAGGAAACAATTATTTGTTATGCTTGAAAGACTGTTACTGAGTATGATAATCTGAACACCAGCTACTCGACAAGAATCAGATCTCCTAGTTATTATTAATAAACAATAGTTAATAAGTCACTTTGCAAGAAAGACCACCATAATAAGAGTCCCTTCAATAATCTTTTCTTTTCTTTTTTCTTAAAGTTTACATCTTTCTTTCTTTCTTTTTTTGAGACAGAGTTTCACTCTGTCGCCCCAGCTAGAGGGCATCATCGCTTACTGCAACCTAGAACACCTGAGCTCAAGTGATCCTCCTGCCTCAGCCTCCTAAGTAGCTGGGTCTACAGGTGTGCACCACCATGCCCGGCTAATATTTTCTATTTTTAGTAGAGACGGGGGTTTCCCTTTTGCTCAGGCTGGTCTCTCCTGACCTCAAGCAATCCTCCCACCTTGGCCTCTCAGAGTGCTAGGATTACAGGCGTGAGCCACTACACCTGGCAATGTATTCTTGAATTAACTGAAATCAAGCCTACCTTATATTGTGTTCTACTTTTCATCACAGATAGTTTTAGTGTACTCATGATGTCTTATATAAAAGCATTAGCAATTTTCATGAATTTTGGTATTCTGGAGTTATAGGCAGGTTTTGTTATAACAGAATGTAATGACTTTAGAACAAGGCGATACTTAGATATAAGCCTTTAATTGTAAATTTCAGTAGAACCTCATTAATAAAGGCTGGAAATCCAGAATTTGTGATAATTTGGCTTAAATGTTATATAACATAAAGGGAAAGGGATTTGCTAAGCAAATACATAGTCTAAGCAGTTGGCAAGAGGAAATACTTCAAACATTTAAGAACAATTTTTAAGTTTGCCTCTTTAACTTATTTGCAAAAATATGATGTATGCATTTGTAACTAGCTTCTTGCATGATTCTAGTATGGTCAGCCTGGTACCAGCAAACAGACTGATTTTTGATTTTTTAGAACACCAATCTTTCTTGGAGTAGATGATTAACATAATCCATCAGCTAAACTATGGACTTTTACTAGCTAGCACTTTGTTAATCTAGTGCGAGTTATCTTATGTGACTTTAAAATGGTAAAAACAAAGTGTAGTTCCCATTAATTCAGGTTAGCTTTCTCCATCAATCCAAGTTACTAACAATTTACTACATAATAAACATTCTGAGATTTCTGCTAACAATCCTTTTTTCAATGTGTAAAATCAATTTTCAGAAAACAGTAAAGATGATTCCCTTGTTTAATATCATTCTGTTAATCATGGAAAAGATTATGTTGCACGCTTTTCTCAGTGTACCTATGGGACCGACAACATGCCTGTGTGTCCTGATGATAAAGTCAGTTATCCAAATATATTCCATTTAGGAATAGCAGATCTAAGTGCTAAGCAAGTAACCACCATCATGTTCAAATTCAGAACTCGAAGATCTTTCATTATATTAATAGACCCTGTATTTTTAGATGTATCAAAACACCAAATACAAATGGCCACCTATGTCCTAATGTACTTGAGAAATCTCGCTACTAATTTTTTAACACTAGTGTTTAATACTGCATTTAATTAAGAAAAAAGGCCTGTCTTTTCTATTGGCATCAATCAGAAAAAGAAAATGCTTAATCCAGATGTTTGTGTGAATGCACATTCCTCACTAAATCTCTCAGGCAGCTGCTTTAGCTACTGTTACTAACATCTTGCTCTGTCATCTCTTTGTATACATGTCTAATTTATCAGTTTCTTGTAGATTGTCAGCAGCCTGCTGCCTCCGTACCGCCACAGTGCTCACAACTAGCCGGGAGGCAAGACTGCCCAACTGTCAGGTAAATTCAGACGTCTCTTCTCTTCCCACCCAGCTGCATGTCAGATCCGTAGACCCCTGGTCCCCCATCCAACTCCATATCTGCTAGACATCATTATATGTTGCTATGTTTTATTTCAATATGGGCCACATAAACATACATTGGATACCTGCAGTCCGTGTGTTCCCGGTGGAAATATAGGAGAGCTGGAGTTTCTCTTACCGGCCACAAGCTGGTGAATTGATGTCTGCCTTCAGCTCCTTTGTGCGACTAAATATTTGGATTAATCCAGTGTTTCCTTACATTCCAAAATATAAAACCTGGAATTGTTAGGATGTCTGTCCTACTCTTCCTTTTCTTTTGTCCTTAAAATATATTTCTCAAGCAAACAGGAAGAATATAAAGAATTAGATATAAAATATATCTATAATAATATCTGTTCCAAGACAACTTTATAATAAAGTGTTTCTATTTTCTGTCCACTCATACCCTCATTAAAACTGAATTGGAAAGGTGGAAACAAACCGAGTAGGTGGCATTCAGAAGAGAATGTTTGCAGTGGTAGTGCCCTTTATGTGAGATTAGCTGAAGAATTTTCAAGGCAGATTTGCACACTGCCTGCACACTGACCCGGAGAGTTTGCTGATGATTCCTACTCATCCTGGGTGAACTTCACACAGCCTCACAGTGGCCCGTCAGGACCTCATCCTGGTCATAGCATACTTTGTCTCCAGCTGCTTGGCCTCGGTGCCAAGCTTTAGTAGGTTGGTTGTGGCTTTCATTGTCTCCTCATTGTTCTCTCCTTATTTTGATGGCACTGCTGTTCTTCTACCAGAGGAAGGCTTCTTTTGAACAGGGGCAGGCCCAGACATATTCCCAGTGTGTCTGAGGAGTAGGTGTCCGTAGCAGGCTGCACATGGTCATGGATTGGAGCCCCAAGAGCTGGGGAGCAGCAAGTGCAGAAACACAGGGGCAGCCGAAGCTCAAGTGTGGTGAGGTCTCAGAGCCGGTTGTGCAGCCACCTGTAGAAGCGGAACATTGAGTTAGCAGGAAAAGGGACATTATTACAGAGGTTGCCGGCCAGGGTCTTCCGATCGATGTCTCAGTAGACTGTTCCCACCATCTTCAGCAACAGGGCTTTTCTTTCAGAATTCTTTGCTAACATACTAATGCCATTTTATAACAGCAGTAATTCCAAGTAGAAATTATTATAACATATAACACAAATAACAGAGTAATTTCAATTACATGAGTAACTGAATATAACTGTGCATGTTCAGCCCATCTCAGTGGGATGCTACACGTGCAGTGGTTAAAAACGTAGGCTCTTAACCTACAGTCCGTTCTCCACAAAGCACCCCCCACCCTCACCTGGGGCCTGGGACAGTGCCGGCATGTGACGGATGTGCAATAAATACTGATTACATGGATGAGTGAAAGAGCTCCGGAGTCACAGTGCTTGGGTTTGAATCCCAACTCTAACACCCGCTAGGTGTGTAATCTGGGAAAGTCGCTGTTGCTAAGATTCATTTTCAATGAAGCACAGGCCTGGCTTGTAGAGTCTGCTCAATATGTTATCAGTACTAACTGTTCTTAGTACCTTACCGTTCCTCAAGACAAAGATCTGCAGTCTCTTTCATAACCCCTTCTAACTTGTTTTGGTAAAGAGTGGAGAAGGCTACTGTTTTGTTTTGCTTTGTTTGGGGGGTGGGCGGGTATCACTATGTTGCTCTGGCTGGACTTGAACCCTGGGCTCAAGCAATCCTCCTGCTGCAGAAGGCTACTGTTTTAAGTGTTTTAAGTAGGAAAATGGAAAGGCTGGGAGAAAATTTTTTTAAGTTTAATTTTATTTCACCTTTCACCCTGATTTTTTTTTTTTTTTTTTGAGAACCACTTTGACTAAACAATTACGTAGCCTAGTTTCATCTGTTCTGAGATTACTGAATTTAGGTTGCTTGCTACCCCTATAGGGATGATTTACTGTAAAGAAAAAGCAATTTAATAAATTACCAATGTTTCCAGTTTCTACCCACATGAATACAGCATGGCCCAGAGCCCGCTTCTGCTGTTCCTTATTGTGGTCGACACAAAGAAATGATTAAATGCATATAGACTTGAAAAGACTCCTTTTCAGAGTTGCAGGGATGATGCCTGGCTTCCTTCCCACCCATGCCTGCTGCCACATGGCTTGAAGCTAATGCCTTCACTGCCCTCCTTACTCCTTCCTGGCAGAAGAGTTAACACATAGCCAACATTTGAATTCTTACTATGCACACATATTAATCGTTACAACTTCCTGTAAAGTAAGCACAGTTATAATGTCCATTTTTAAATGAGGAAATCTATGTTTGGGAAGGAAAAATTACATGTCCAGGGTCACACATCCTGAACACAACCGAGCCCAGTGACTCCTGCCTGCCACTGTACAGAGCTGACAGCAGAGAGGCTTCCCCGTGTCAGTTACATGGAGAGGAACAAAGGAAGAGTATGTAAGTCTGGACTCTTCCCCTGAATTGAAAGGAAGTGTTTATCTAATGAGAAACATGACAAAATTTGCTAAGAATGTTGAGTGATTTCAGATCAGGTGTTCTCTGTTTCTGATTTTGAAAAATTGTTTTGTACTTCCCCCAGTTTATACATACATTCAAATAACTTTTAAGGTGTATAATTTTTTTTATTAAAAGAGCATTTGCTCACATTTAAAAATGTAAAACTTTTCCACGTATACTTTTTATAGATTGATTCCATTGTAGAACTCAATTATCAAAATTGTTTATAGATAATAGATATTATAATGAGAAAGGAATGCCCACGGTATGCAGCTTTGAATATAATATTTAAATATAATATATAGAAATGTTTGTATTTAGCACTTCTCCCCTTCTATTGAATAGCTGCTTACTTGGGGAAAAAAAGAAGAAACTTTCTGAAGATGCATCCAATTTTTTATCTTATTAATAGTTTCCTAAGCTTACTGTTTACAACATGATCTGCTTATGAAAAGTAGATTTGTCAATGGTAAATATTGAGTAACAAGGGGGCTCCTGAAGATATTTGATAGTCAGAACTGAAGTTGAATTTATTCTATACCTTAAATGATTAGAATTTATCAAATATTTATATTCAAGAAATAATTTTTTAATCCGTAAGCCAAGAATATGTTTCTTATGGGTTAATATATATATACAGTGTGATTGCGTTTTATGCAAATTTAAAATAGTAATGCTATAATATAAAATATTTGTAACTCTCACTTTATGTAAGAAATTTGAAATAATGAAAAAATTTTAGATCATCACAAATGAAATGTCAGGGTGTTGGCCAACTGAGCTCTAATCTTTGTTTAAGCTGTTGCTATACACTTCAGCAGGTTAAGCAGAAGGACTTGCCTTCCTTCATCGAGAAGAGTATTGGATTACACAAGGTCTTCAAAAACATACCCCTCTGTATAATGTGACCACACATTACTCACTGTAGCTTATGTTGCATAACGTATTTTGTTTCCTAAAAAGAAATCAGTCCTAAATCATGCAGATTTATAGAAAGAAACTGTGGTAGGTCCATGAAGAAAGTCTGTCTGATTAAGCTATAACCCGTGGTTTTCCAGACAATCTGACTCTGTTTGCAAGGTCAAGGATAAATCTTGCTATGCATTATTTTCTTTTTTCTATTTTTAATTTATTTTTTTAATTGACAAAACCAGGCACTATTTTCTTAGTTCTTTTTTTGAAGCTCCAGTTCTTCCATGGTAGCTCCAGTTCTACCACATTTTAAAAATAGGTAGGAAACATAATTTTTATCCATGGTTGTCTTAACCAGTACAGAACAGCAAATCTTCTTTTAAACTAAATTTACAGGAGGTCAAAGAATTTGAGAAGTGAGAGTAACCTCAAGCAAACCAGATATTTTACATAATTATGATTTGATATTAAATTTCAAGGGATATACATGAAGGAAAATTTCAGTACCAAAGATAAAAATTATTTGTTTAATACTAAGTTTTAATGGCTTCAGTGATAATACTAGCTTTAACAAACTGTTTAAATCAGTCTCCTCCACTTGCCGGGGTTGACCCATTCCTTCTCTGGAATGAACTGAAAAAACAAAAACAAACTGTTTAAATCAATTAATAATAATAATAAACCTTGACTAGTTCTCCTAAACATCACTCCCGGCAGAAATGAATTGTATGGATGGTACTGAATTTCATAAGATAAGGGAAAATAGCAGAGATTTGAAAAATACCGATCTTTTCTAATTAAAAAACAAACAAAAAAAACCCATATTGTGATTTCCCCACTGGTAGTCACATTTAAAAGATCTGAACCCAAATGTGTTTTATAGTTTTACCCTAGAAAACTCAGTGATTTTGCTTCCTTATGCTTAAAGATTATTCGTCTAGACATTGATGGGCCTGCACAACTGTTCATTTAAACTGGTGGTTGTCAGTGGTGGTCGTTTGGAAAGCTACCTTGTGTATAAGTATACTTAACAAATGGGAAGTGTTATAAAACTCTTCAGTCGTTTTCACACCACCAAGCTAAAGCAGGTATCCTTAGAGCAAATGAGGCTTCCATAGGCAAATTATTCATCCTGTTGAATCTGGATCCACCAGAGAACTGTAGAATCCTCTAAACTCCAAAGCCTTGGTCCACCCATCAGCACTGCTGGGAGCTCTTTGGAAATGCAGAATCCCAGGTCCCACCCCATACTTACTGAATCAGAATCTGCTTTTTACCAAGTCCCAGGTGACTTGTGTGCACATTAAAGTTTGAAAAGAACTGATCTAGTGAAATCTCAGAGCTAACCCAGAGAGCTAGGACAATGAGATTGTGTGCAAAAATGGAAAAGAGTGACATCAGGGGAAGAGTTCATGTATCATTTCCCTACCACATTTCATTTTTCTTATTTCTGCCTTGTTTTGAAAAGCCATAGTTGTGTTGGCATGTTTTAGATTTAAACCATTTTCTGTGCAAAATTTCTGTTCACCTTTTAAAAATGTATGTGAAAATAGTTTACTTAACCCTAACGACTATGCCTGGCCCTTTGAAAATGCGTTTCCTGCTGACACGCCTGTTTCTCCTTTCCAGTCCTGACACAGCTCTCCCTGACGAGCAGCCGCATTCCAGCCCCCAGTGCACCCCTCTCCGCTGTCTCTCCAAGCCTCCTCACCCCTAGTCTTCATTTCCTATGGACAAACACCTGGGGTGAAAGTTTTGTAGCCACACGCAGGATACTGCCCAAGATCCAGCAGGTGTTTTCTTCTGGGTTGTTGATATACACTTGGGTTAATGTCTGTCATTTTGGAAGATGAGAGAAAGTTGAGAAGAATAACACAAAGCACAGACCCTGGTGTGATAAAACCTTCTATGGTTTCTCTAAGTCACAGATAAACTTCTGCAATCAAATGGCTACAGTTCAGTTAAATTAAAAAACAAACAAGAAACATTTATCTCAGATGGCTGGCTTTACCTCGATAGCATAAGAGAGACCTAAGACAATGTAAAATACATATATTGTAAAATCATCTTTCCTCGCACTCCAAATTCAGCTATAGAAATTGATTCCAATATTTTTTGCCATTGATATTTATTTTGTACTTTATTTGTTACATGATGATTTATGTCTATAAAAATAATTTCTGTGAGAGGTGAATTTAATTCATTTATTTTCAGATTTTCAGATAAGCATAATTTGCTCAATGAAGTATGAGTTTTAATTTACTTTGAAATCTGGAATTGGCCAGACTGCGGTCATTTTTCTTGCACAAAATGATTAATGAGGTGCATCAGAATGTTAACAATAACTGTATTTTGCTGCTACACTAATATGTTTATGCTCTTATTTTCTAATCAGCTCATTAACTGCTGGGTTTTGTTTTTGTTTTTGTTTTTTTAACTAGAGTTCTTCACTGGACATTATTAAGTAAATCAAAAAAGGAGACTAAGTTATGATCCATTGATATATTCAAGTTTTGATGGTATCTTTAATTTTTTTAAATTGCAGTTGAGTAGATGTACTGGTGCTGCTCCTTTATATGTGTGTGTGTGTGTGTGATTATGTTAAAGAAGGCTAAATAACTTGAAGGGAAAAAATGGTGTGTTTATTTAATGACCAGAATTTTTTTTTTTTTTACTTCTCCCAAATTCAGGGTCCTACCATGAGTCTTTCCTGCTAAAAGGTATCAAGTACAAATAGGAAAATATATACCTATAGATAAATGTAAGGTAGCCTTTGGATAATTAATTTACCCAGAAAGTGTTCAAATTTTGGTCAAAATTGTATGTTTTGTTGTTGTTAGGTTTTTTCATAATGAATCTTCCTTGCCAAAAAACAATAGATAATAAACCTTAGCTCACTGTCTACTTTTGACAAACACTCAGGTGCCTACAATCACATTATATTGAGATAATACATGTTCCTAGTTAATTTACAGATTCTGCTGGGTAACTTTTATGACTTGATTTAAGGCAGTGGATTTTCATAGCAAAATTTATTTTGCACATAATCTGACAAACAAGGAAAACAGCTAATTGAGCTGAAAGGTCTAAACACTCTTGGGCTCCTTAACTATCAAGTGCTGCCCACACAATTGCTCCTAGCCCTGATTCCTTGTTTTTGTCAGGTAGCCTTAACTTATTTAAAACCATAAGGGTTTGACCTTTTCATATAAGGATATATGTAACTTCTCTTCAAAACAAAACAAACAAAACGATCCTTGCTGTTAACACCAAGGACAATTAACAGTGCAGGGCACTAACAATGGAGATCTAGGAGCCACTCAGCTGGGAAGTGGGTGGCACAGTAACGGAGTGGTCTGCTGACAACCAACCCGTAAGTCCTAAAGCACATTGCAGGAGCTTTTGTCAGTCCTAGGCCTATTAAGTAGAGGTCCCTGTTACCAAAGCAACCAAGAGGTTTTTTTGTGTTCCTTAAATGAGTGCTATTTTCAACAGTGTCATTTATTATGCAACTTGGAATAAATAGTTGAAATCTTCATGAAAATAGGGATTCAGTTTACAGTACAGAAACAGAAACAAAACAAATCTTCCTAAAGTCCTAATCATAACAGCCTAACCTCCTGCCCTTTCCTACCTGCATTGCCTTGCTCTTCCTAAACATTTTCGTCATTGTCTTGGTGTTGTATCTGCCTAGTACCAGTTATTAGTGAGATAGTGTGGATTTTATTAGTGTTCAATTAAAGAAAGCTTACCCCCACCCTCACTTTTTCTTTTCCTTTTTTTTTTTTCTTTTTTAAGCATATCATATGTTTGGACCTGAGAAGTGGCATAGCTGCTAAGTTGACTTTTAATAAAAATTGTGCCTGAGGGAAAATAATGCCCTTTTAAAAAAGTACCTGGGAACACCTTCCTTTATATATTGCCTCGTCAGTTTTGTTTGGTGGGACTGGGCGTTCAGCAGCGAGTACTGTCTGCATGTGATGATAGGGTACTTCTGCCTGTTGCATTCTTACTCCCTTACTCTGCATTTAGGACCCAGTGAAACGCTGGGTCGTATACCAAACATTTATTTCTTCCAATAAAAAGTTTATTATTAAGTCTATTATAAACTAGTTTTATTTTGATTCTTTATCTTAACAGAGTGGGAAGTGCTTGTTTTGAAATTAATTTTGTGAAAATATTAATTTTAGCAAAATTTTACCAAGAAGATATAGAAACTTGGAAATAAACTTCTCATTTTCAGCACAAAATTAGATGATAGTCCCTAAGTAGTGAGAAAGAATACCATGTATTTACACTGTGGCATCATTTAGTATAGTTCAAACTGAGCCATATCTCTATTTATTTACAGGCATTTAAAATGAATAAATATGTGTAGTGTTGATAAAAATCAGTACCTGTAAAGATAACATCAGGAATTCAAAAGGAAATTGAAAATTGAAGAACTAGTGAGAACCAAAAAGAACAAACCTCAGTAAAACTAATTAAAGACATACTTGGGGAGGGAAAATAAACTGCAGAAATGCATTAAAAATACTAGCTAATTATTGCAAACATGGTGAGCAAAGATTAAAGATAACTAGCAGAGTGGTTGCAAAATAAACAGGTAGTTTTTAAAAAGTAAGCACAATCACAATGCTGAAAGGAATAGTTAGTATGTAGAAATGCTTTCCTACTGAGGATTTTCCTTAATTAAAAAATGATAATAAAAAAGAGCAATAAATTGCCTTTGGTCTGAGTGCTCAAGGGCATGAAGGACCTTGGATTGATCTTTCCAATTAACTCATGGTTCATCAGATCCCTTTCACAGACCCATTTTGGGTTCCAATAGAAGGAATTTAGGAATTTCTCAATAACTTTTGAGAAAACAAAAAGTTATTAAATAATTAAGACCTATTTAGAAATTATACTTTAGCCAAAGCAAGAGGAGGTACAATAGTGATTTTCAAGAAAAGAGAATTTAACAAATGATAGATACCAGCTATAGATATTGTTACTGAGACTAGAATAAGAGAGTCTTCAGTGTGAAGCATTTATATTAACTCTAGAAAAGAGATTTTTAACACTGGGAAATTAATCATTGACATTGATAATCATAAGGAAGATTTGTTTTTTAAAAATTGAATATTATTGGTAGTCTAGTGAGGATTAAGTGGCATGGTATCTTGTGATAATGTATTATAATTCCAGGAGCTCATAATTCTATGATTCTTTTATTTTAAATTTTAAAATAAAATTTTACCAGTTAGTCATAAAATATTTTATATTTGAAGATAGGATGGCAATCTTAATTTTTCCAAGATATTTGGTTTTTTTTAAAAAACGGATTGTTGGTATTATTTTTCTTTCCAGCTATATTTCATAATATCTTTAAAGTTGTCCAGAATATAGTAATTTTGCTAAGAAACTTCAATTGTCAGAGTCTAAAGAATCAAATGTCCTCAGAAATACTTCAGAAATAGACCATATACAATCCCTTAGGAAGGGGCAAATGCCTCTAAAATTTTATCTTTATTTAAAAAGATATTCAATCTACAACATCTGCTTTTTCCATGCTTTGGAGAATATTCTTGTACAGATAAGTCCTGTTTCAAGCAAGCATAAATCAGGTCCTATCAACTAGGAATGTGGAAATTTCCTGATTTACTGCATTAAATAAAATTCTCTACAGTTCTTAAGTGGAGATTACAAAACATGAAAAGGAAAAAATGAAATATATTTTCTTCTGGGATAAGAATGTCAAATTTAATGTATAATTGTCATAATCAATCAGCCAAAAGATGTAATCTGTCTCTCAGACACAGCAGGGGAAGCTGGTGGAGTTCCAGTAAGGAACTATTCTGGTTCAACCCAAAGATGCCACAAATGCATTGATACGGAAGATGTAAAGTAGGACTAAATTTGAACGAAACTCTTAGGATAAAGTTCACAATTTTAAAAAGTTTGCCCTCCAGTTCTTTTGTTTGTTTATAAACTAGATTTTAAATAATCCTTGTATTTAAGACTGCAAAAAATTTACAAGAATATGTTTTCAAATAAAGGGAAAATACTTCTTCAAAAAGCTATTGAACTGGAGTTTTGATAGATAAGTTATGATAGCATGATTAGTGCTGATATTGGCAAGTAATGTTTTATCTTAAAATCAATTTCTGTGGACATACAAGATCAATCTAGCTGCCGAGTGACCTTTTCCATTGTCTGTAATAATGCCCCCGGATGAGTTGTATCAGAAATTAAATTAATTCTTTATTTAAATGCCAACTTAACTGCCATAGTCCCTGATATATTGCATTTACAGCCTGAACCTATTATGTTAACACCTGAAAGATTTCCTCTATATCTTTTTGAAAGATATCTCTTTCATCCTTATTACTCAAAGTGTAATTGAAAGAGATATTTACTACTAGGATATGTTCCCCAATTGAAAAATTTCCAGAAATAATATGCCGCTTAAGAAGAGGAGCAGTTAACTACCTTTAGTGTAAGGACAAGAGTGCATACAAGTATGCAGTGTAAAATGTTTGCATGAGATATTTCATATCATGTAAGCTTTCCAATATTCATAATATGAACACTATAGAAGTCTTATTTCTCTTGTGATCTTCTGTCCATTAGGAATGTAAGGAGACTGTTACCTATATCTGGTCTCCTTTCCATATTGAAGTGCATGGCTCTAATCCTCAGTGTATTTTTATCCCTTTTCTCTGAAGTTATTTAAAATTTTGCCCTATTTAAACTGAAGCCTGGACAAACTGCTGAGCCAGATTATTTCTGTGATTGAGTTTAATTACTGTAGAACACTTGTTAAGAACACATTTTTTTTTTATTTTAACTTTTTTTCTTTCAGAATTATTCTTTGGATCATTATTGTTCTCTAATGAAAACACTGAGAAGTAAATTTGATACTTAGGATAAGTGTATGTTTTTCTTTTAAAAAGTCATTTTAAAACAAAGATCAGAGAGCTATA